CCATGCTTCCCAAGGGAGCCAGATACTCGATGGCATCCACAGGGAAGGGTGTGCTGAGTGCGACAGTGGGCCAGTCCTCCAAATCTGCTCGCTGGTCATTAAGTCGACGGCTTTGGGAGCAGGCGATGAGGTCGAAGAATTCCTCGGTTTGCAGAGAGGACATGGAGGTGAAGATAGCTGCACAGATGGAGAAAGAGCAGCAGGAATTGTAAATTGTAAACTCTTCACTTCAACTTCACTTCCCCAGCTTTGTGACATGTATGCTGATTTGTGCACACTCCCTCACACTTCTAAGTGTGCACTCGCTCTCACACTTACACACACTCAGACAAACACACGCGTGCTCAAACACAAGCACATGCTGCCATACAGGCTCACATGCACACACAAGCATACACACACACGTGCATACAATGTGTACTGTAAGTGTGTCCCATGAACAAACGCAGATCAAGTTAGTGTTAAATATGGCAGTCATGCCTCATCAGTGCACACTAGACTCAGGTATGGCATAGGGCTAGATACAGAGTAAAGCTCCCTCTACACTGTCCCTATCAAACACTCCTAGGACAGGGACAGCACGGGGTTAGATACAGAGTAAAGCTCCTTCTACACTGTCCCCATCAAACACTCCCAGGACAGGGACAGCACGGGGTTAGATACAGAGTAAAGGTCCCTCTACACTGTCCCCATCAAACACTCCCAGGACAGGGACAGCACAGGGTTAGACACTGTCCCCATCAAACACTCCCAGGACAGGGACAGCACGGGGTTAGATACAGAGTGAAGCTCTCTCTACACTGTCCCCATCAAACACTCCCAGGACAGGGACAGCACGGGGTTAGATACAGAGTGAAGCTCTCTCTACACTGTCCCCATCAAACACTCCCAGGACAGGGACAGCACTGGGTTAGAGACAGGGTGAAGCTATCTGTGAAGTTTAATGTGTTAAACACACAGCAGGGTGGACTCCCAGGAGAATGTCTACTGCAGTCCTGAAGGGAGAGGGCCATGAGTGAGGGAAAGGAACACCCATGGGCATTCAGTGGGGACCAGTGATCAGGCTGGGAATAATATTTTGATGTCATGCACCCAACGACCAACAGAACAGCGGAGAGTTTGTCGAAGTGCTCACAATTCTCTCTGTCCAGCGGTGATGAGGGCATCGATCGATAAAGCCGACGGTCCCTGACCCTCCTGAACGAGCATCGCTGGTCATTGAGGCGCCTGCTCTGCACCTCCCACACCAGGTCAAAAAACACTTCACGGTCACTGAAATCCGGGGTTAGCCTTTTCATCTGCACCGGGAGAGAACAGCACAGATAGAGAGAGAGAGAGAGAGAGACGGAGGGAGTGAGAAAAGAGAGAGAGGGAGAAAGAGAAGGGGAGAATGTCGTACGGGGGTGAAAGGGAGCAGGGAGAGAGAGGCAGAGATAGAGAGAAAGAGAAAGGAAGAGAGAGAAGGGGAGAAAGACAGAAAAGGAAAGTGAATGGGAGAAACAGAGAGAGTGAAACAGAAAGACAGCACGAGAAAGAGAGAAACGAGGCAGTGAAAGAGAGAAACGAGGCAGTGAAAGAGAGAGAGAACGAGAGACAGAGTGAGAAAGAGAAAGTGGGAAAGATTAAAAGAGTGAGAGAAGGGAAGAAACAGGGAACGGGGAGAAAAGGAAATAAAGGAAGAGAGAGAGGGAGGGACAGAAAGAGAAAGGGAGAAACAGAAGTAGAGAGAGGACAAGAAAGGGAGAGGAGAGAAAAACAGAGAGAGAGAGAGAGTGACATTGAGTGACATTAATGTCATCCAATCCTGGTTTAATAATTGAGTATTACAGCACAAAAAGAGGTCCTTCGGCCCATCAAGTGCATGCTGGTCATCAGGCACCTATCTACTCTAATGCAATTTCTCAGCATTTGGCCCTTATCATTGTACACTA